AAGTGATAGTAAATTTCATAGATAGTAAAATGTAATTTTGTGTGTAAAACATGGAAATATTTTTTGTCGTATTGATTGTTACATTTATTTGCATGTTGTAGGTAGCTCGTAGAATAAATAATTAATTCTCCTTATTGTAATTTGGCTGCTCAGGACAAGCCTATGCATAAATCAGGCCCTGCTTGTAACACATCTCTTTCATTATTAATAACCTGCTATTGTGTTTTAATTAGGGTTTCACATGTGTCATTTCACATAAACACTGCTTAAAACACAAGATTATTGTGATGTGTGATGAGAAAATGTGATTTAATCATCAACAAACATGCAAAATTTAAATTGAGCGATTTTAACAATTCAGTTAATCAGAAGCAAACAATGCAAGATTCATGCTTTAAATGAAAAGGTGACATAATTCATACCTTTTTTTTTTTACATAAGCATACACTTTTTTATCTTCCAACATGTATGGCCCCTATACATGGACAAGTGTAGCCTATAAGCTATTTTTTACAAATATAAGATGCAAAATTCAATATAAGAAACCAGAAATCTCTTAGCTCTACTTAAAAAATGCTTCGTTTTAGCGATAAAAGAAAGAAAGTCTTGAATGCCACACCTTTTTGTAATCAAGATATTTAGCTGTGTCATTAATAATTAGTATGCAGCATAGTCTAAGCTGGATCCAAAAACAGCTGGTGTTCATTCCAGTCCAAATAAGTACACATTACTCAATCACTGGAAATTATTTTCCAACAGCACCATAGGAACACTTAATGGTGGGGTCTTCTGGATGAAACACGTCAAATGTGCATGTTTTGTAATCATACTTCACAATGCAGCCTTTAGTCATGGAAGTCACTCGGCCCATCCTATAACAAAAAGCACATCACTTTAGAAGAAATGTCTTGAAATATAAAACCTACAATGCTGTTCATGATCACGGAAATAAATTTCAACTTATCCCTCATCTTGTAAACATGAATGTTTATGAAAAATGTGTTCAAACAGGCAGGCATGACCTCAGGTTTAAAGGAGATGCTGTTTTTACAGTTAATGGAGCTAAGATGAGCTAACAATGAACAACCCTTGTGAAAAAGAATGCTATAGCATACATATAAATAAAGAGTACTATACTTTAAAAGTTTATACTTAAGTGCGAACTTAATATAATGTTTTCGGAAACATAATTGCATATTATTTACAATTAATTATGCACTTTATTGACAATTATGTCAATGTATTATAGATTAATTTTATATGCAATTTAAGAGTGCTTTTTTCACCCACTTAAATAAGACTTAAGTACATTTTATATGTAATTTCATAATTGCTTGGATTGCTTATAGTGTACTACATAAGCATTCATTGTAAACTAAAATGATGACATTTCTATTGAAACTTTTATGTACGTATGTATTTTAAATATATATGTAGGCCTACACATCTGTAAGAATGAAGTTGCCGTTTAATACATTTAAAATATATTTATACTTTAAATGTAGAATAACACTATAGTTAAATGATAATCAAGTATGTGCTTTAATATGTTAGGCAACAAAATCAAAATAAGTGTACTTCTTTAAAGCATGGCAACATATTATTAAAATGACTTACCATGTCCTTCAAGGTAAGACTTTTAATTTTACTTAAGTACTTGAGTGTGTTACGAAACATAGTCATGAAAGTGTTCACTCTTTTAAGTGCACTTTTATTTCAGGAATACTGTATTATCAGCAATACTGTATTATTTCTATTATATTAACTCCAATTGTTTTCGTTAAAAAAAAAAAAACTTAAGGACAAGGTGAAATTAATAAAACAATGTAAAAACAATATATTTAGTTTTCTAAAATTTCAACAGGAGTTAGGATTTTAAATGTCTTGCGCGTCACAGCACTTCATTCCACTGGAAGAGCAGGTACAACTGACACATCTGCCATTTGTCCAAGCACTTCCCATTGGATGCTTGGAGTTATCATAGTCATCAACACAATGTTTTTCCCCTGTTAAGAGTTAAGAAGAAATGCAGTGTTTATTTACCTAAAAGTGTACATACACCATCATTCAAATATGAGTGTTTCATTCACTGTAAAAAATGACCGTGAATTTAACGGTAAAAGACTGTAAAAATGCTGTGAAATGGTTAACGGTAAATTCCCCTACTATATACGGTGAAAAACTGCATTGGACATTACATATTTTTTACGGTAAAATTCCGGCAACCACAACTGCCGGTTTTTTACCGTAAATTTTACGTAATTTTTTTTACAGTGTTGTTATATTTGAATATTTTCTGTTCTTGGGTATTTGACATGAAATATGATTCGAGTAAACACCTATTTTCTGTTAGAAAAACATAATTCAAAATAATGCAAATAAATGGTGAAAAACATCAAATAAATGGTGTTATAGTTAGAACGTTAGAGATACAGTTTCCATTACACATTTATTATTTTGAATGTTTTAGCCAAAAATTTGTTTTGATGCAAAACAACTAAGCAATGATTAACTCATCAGTTATGATGAAATGGGCACTATAAATATATATATATAAAAAAAAAAAAACTAAGAGTGAATTTTGACTTCATGTTGACTTTTAAAGAAAGAATTAAAAATATGGTTGTACGTGTGTCTGTTTTTATTTACCCAGTTTTAGACCCATAAAGAAGCAGGCAGATTCACTTAAAGAGACAAAGGCACAAAATACCAAAACCAGAGCCAAAGATGTCTGTAAAGAGAAAACTAGGAACTTATTATAGAAAAAAAACACAGTATACAACAGTAAATATTCACATATAAATTCTATAATGATCAGCAGCATTATTAAACTTACCATTTTTGCAAGTTTAGCACAGATGCTGGTCTGATGAAATGCAGTCATTGGCACATTAGGTCTTTTTAAAGAAAACAGAAGAGGAACATCTCATTTCAACACACATCTGCACTGATCAACGTGTTTGATTACCAACTTTTACTAGTCACTTGCACTTTTATGCAGAAATATATGTTTTATGTCTTTAATGCAAGTGAGATGGGCCCCCTATAGGACCTTTATGGATTGGCTATAGAGTGTGAAATAATAATAATAATAATAATAAAAAAGACTTTAATTAAGACTGATTAATCTTCTGTGAATATTTGTAATGTTACCGAGTAGTTATTGGTTGCTAAATATGTGTTTTGTTTTTTTTAATTGTTATTGTTGTAAGCAGTTATCTGTTTCACAACCACTCTACAACACCAGATGTTTCTTGATATTCTTACATATTTCTCAATATATGATTGTGTCAGCCTCAAGTTGTCACAATAACTGGAGGTCAGACAATAGGGTTCAAGATTTTACTGCAGAACTTATAGAATTAACCACACAAGTAATTCATTCAATTATGATCCAGCACATGGAACAATTAACAAAGTCCTTTGTATTACTATAAGAGGATGAAGACAGGTGAGCGGGTAGGTAAAAGTTTGGGTAAGTCTTGCACATGAGGCTATAGATGAGACCAGACAAACAGTGTGGTCTGCTAAAGCAGTGGTTCCCAACCCTGGTCCTGGAGGCACCCCTTCACTGCACATTTTGCATGTCTCCTTTCTCTGACACACCAATTTCAGGTCTTGAGAGCCTGATTAGCTGATTTAGGTGTGTTTAATTAGGGTTGGAGCTAAACTCTGCAGGACACCGGCCCTCCAGGACAGAGTTTGGACAGCCCTGTCTTGGAGTCTCTACTAATGAGCTGATGACCTGAATCAGGTGTGTTTGATTAAGGAGACATGCAAAACGTGCAGTGTTGGGGTGCCTCCAGGACCAGGGTTGGGAACCACTGTGCTAAAGTGTTGATTATTGGAAGGTGTGAGTGATGATTGAGTGTGTGCAGGTGGGAAACAAGAGGGATGCTGGGAAATGTAGTGCTGTGGTGAATGGGCTGGTGACTGGAGATTGTGACATAAGTGATTGTATTGCATGTATTGCATGTTCAATAAGCAACTTCAGGATCTTAAATGCAAACTAGTCAAGCCCTGTGGCCTAAGTTAGTATTTTACTGCTCAATATATGAAAGCAAAACAGTGAATATAAAAATCCTATCTCACAGTGTTCTCCCGTTTTTAGACAACAAGTAAACACTTTACTACAATGCAGTGTTTTTCTACACACTCTTAGAAATAAAACTTCGAAAAGGGTTTTTTCACAGCCATTGAAGAACCATTTTGGTTCTTCGATACTGGTTCAACAATTAATAATTCAACAACACTGGCAATACTAAACAGTATCTTATATCTATGTTCTGTTCAAAGTCTTAATCTAATTATCTATTTAGAAAACTACTCCCACCAAATCACAGATCTCAACAACAGTTCCAACTATACTGATATCAATTCCCAAAAATGTGTCTAGGCTTTTGGGTATTTCTTTATGATGCCCAATAAAGCAGTGGATTTTGACCAGCTGATAATCAACTGCTCCGAAGAATTGTACAGAATGCTGTAGGCCTAAATCTTTTGTTTTGGTCTTTTGTATGTTTTAGTAAAAAAAGCATTTTCTTAAATTTACTTTGTATCACACACCTTCAGTGTAGATTTTCTGTGTGAATCAACTGTGGTTATGGAGGTAATAACATTATGTGCCAAATTCTGGTCTTCCCACATGCCACACACAGACAAAAACGATGCTTTGAAATATGCAAGTCTTAAACATTTTATTGTTTAATGTCAAAAACAAAAAAGGTCTGCACTCTAAACAAAGTCCCACATGGCTTTTGGGGGCCACATATTAATGTAGGTAAATGATGGCTACTATTAATGAGAATCTTTCACTTCCCATGTGTGATGTGCAGGGCTGAGTTCAATGATGTTTAATGACAAATACCTAATAATAGACTAGCATATAATAAGATTATTGAATGAGCAAGCTTTTAGCAGAAATTCCCCATTTGTTTAGAGTGCAAAGCTTTTCTGTGATTTAGAAGGTTTTTTTTTTTTTATATATATATATATATAATTTAAAATGGCATATGGCTGATATTTCTTAGGGATGGGTTGTCCTGGGATGCCTTGCAGTAGGGTTTGGACATATAAGTTTCATTGTGCGTCGTCCTGAAGTCATGTTTGCTGTGCCGGGGCCTGATATGGCTGTCTTTAACCTAGTAAGAGATTAGTTAAAGGTTGAAGGTCAGCTCTCAAAGGGGGGAAATAGTTCAGAAATAGTTATTAGCATCAGGCAAAAATGCCTTATATCAACATAATCATTGCAATTTAATGGACACTTTTAAGTAGTGCTGTCAAACGATTAATCACGATTAATCGCATCCAAAATAACCGTTTTTGTTTACATAATATATGTATGTGTGCTGTGTATATTTATTATGTATAAACACACACACACATGCATGTATATATTTCAGAAAAATATGTTGTGTTTATATATTAAATATATTTATTTATAATATAAATTATATGAATATAAATATAGACATGTAAATATTTTCAAAATATATACTGTATGTGCGTGTATTTATATATACATAATAAATATACACAGTACACACACATATTTTATGACATGGTTTTAACTAAATTTGGGTGGGAACAGTGTAAAAAAAAAAAAAACAGACCAATGTCTTTGTTCGCTTCTCATGGACTGGAGAATAAATGTAAAATTTTACCCGCTGAAGCTGACTAGGGCTCAGTTCCTGTCTTCTGGAGTTCAGGGGGACAAAATCTTTTTGCATGGTTGTAAGCATCCGATCCGACTCTACAAATACAAGTAGATTATGCGATAATCAATTACAGAGACTAACAACATAATTTACATTTCATATATTTTTATTTACTTTTATATTTTATATATGTTTTACATAGAGTATTTTTTATGTATATTGTTTAGTCTTTTTTTTTTTTAAGTCAGGTAACCTAAAAATGTTCTTTATGTAGTAACATTTAAATGAACTGCTTTTATTCTACTCAAAAACATGACTGAACCAACCTGGCAACATTCAGTTGCATCAGCAAAAAGCAATTTAGGGGTCCGATCAAGTAGAACTCTTTTAAAGTAAAAGCTGCCCATATACACTTTTTCACAGTGTAAGGTTAATGTGACGTAGGTCATTTTAGGTGATTATTGTGAAAATACAGGTTAGCAAACCAAAAGTACCTTGCTCAAGCAGCACGTGGCTAAGTGGGTAAACCGGTGGCTTGGGACGGAGCACTTCTTTGGATGGGAACTGCTCTTGTGATGCTGTGCTGTAGTATTTTCCAGCCAGATCAGGCCTCCCGAATGTAACATTGCTCAAAGTCCTGATACTGGGTCCATCCACATGCACTGGGAACTCTGAGCGGTTTATCTGATAAAACAAATATCCCTGAGTTAGAAACAACACGCTTTGTATTATTGTAATCTTTAGGCAAGAATAATTTGCAGCAGGTCACACATGCACCTCTGAGAGGAAGGACTGGTTCGTTGTTGACAGTCTCTCCTGGTTGCCTGTAAGTTTCTCTCCTTTGAACACAGAGCTGAGAGTCGGGCATCTGCGCTCCAGGTGAACAGGGCCTGGTAAAAACAAACTTATTAAAGTGACACACTTGATGAATATTTCATATGTTTACTTTTGGAAAACTTGTCATAAAATATAAAGGTAGCTACAGATTTTAAAACACTTCTGAATGTATTATATTAAGTAAAAATATTACATTTGATAAATGTGTTCAAATATTGCATTCCATTGATAATGTTTAATTAATATATTAAGTTCATGCTTTGACTCCTGTGGAAAATTACTGATATTCTGCACTGAAGACATTTTCTACGGCATAACGAAAGGTTATTGTGCATACTGCATTTGTGTGAAGGAAACTCCTCGGATGATTTTGTAATCCATTCATCATCATGAAGTTCCCGAAGCTTGAAAGGCTGAGGTTTCTTTCTCTTGTAAAGCAGAGTTTCAGGACTGTTGAAAACATAAACGTTACTGATTCTCCACATGGTTTCACATTTATTTATCTCAATATAACTATGCAGGCACGTGCACAGGTAGGGCTCAACCTGTGCAGAGCACATGCCCTTTTTGCCCTTACACTCCGAAGTGCCCTCTAGGTGTGATAAAATGTTATTTCTAGAGCTTGAATTTTCTATAATCAGGCTTGACACAATCCTATTGTTAAAATGTGGATGTTTTGTGTTGATGCTGCATCAGTACCTGTGGTCACCTGACTGTCTGAAAAAGCTGGAATAAGTTGTTTGCTTGTCTTGTATTTTATCTCGGTCTCCCATTGGTACAGCTGAATACTGAACTCGTTGCTGAATGAAATACAAATAAATAAATAAAATTATTGAACTGCATCTTTAATGGCACTCTCTGAAACCACCACCCAGGGCCGTCCTTAGCTGACGTGGGGCCCGGTGCGAGGTAGGGAGCGGGGCCCCCCTCGGTCTGTTCGCGATCGCGTTCCTGGGAGGGGGGGGATGTCCCCCTCGGTCCGTTCGCCGCACGGCCCGGTGCGACCGCACCAGTTGCACCCCCCTAAGGACGGCCCTGCCACCACCAAATGATTACTCTTGCTAAGTAATTAATTACTAGCTAATTACGTCTTCAACAGTGTAAGCTTATTGTACTAAATACTCTATTAATAAGTATTGGATTACTTATTACTTTTGAAATTCCATATCAACCTCAACCCGTTGAACAATACAAGAATAGACACTGACACAAAGAAACTGCTCTTTTAATTCTTTCAAATAAATAATAGGCTATAAAATGCATAAATTAACCAAAGGGAGATGAATGCATTAAAAACATACATTTTAACATTGTCTTAAATTTTGATGTTAAATCCACTATTGCTATTACATAATTGTTTAATAGTTTACACAGTATTTATTGCAATTAAATCAGAAGTAACTGTAATTAAATGACAGAAAAATTATGAGTAATCCCTTATTAAGTAATTAAATTACAGTAATGAATTACTTACAAATGCATTACACCCAAAACTGCAAATGATGTAGATTTACCTTCTCTATGGACTCCAGAGGAGAAAGAGGAGGACACCCGCTGTACAGGAACTGCTCTTGATAACTACAGTCATATCTGTTCTTTTTCTCCTGCCTTAGACTTGATCCAACACCTGATTGATAAAAAATAAAGCATCATCTGTTCAAAAAAGGCAAAAAACAAAAAGGTCAATGGACAATGTGAGTGTGCAGTACTGACCTGCGCTCCCTGGTTCCTTTGCAATAAGGATTGGAGACACCTCTTGTTTGGTGTAACTGGATCTGTATGTCGGCTCGGGATATTTTCCCTCCGGCACACTTATTCTGACTTTGGTAACTGGTCGAACAAGTTTGGCTTTAGACATGGGCAGGTACTTGAAATCAGAATGAGTGGTCACAAAGTCGCCACTCCTGTCCTCAGAAGTCATTTTAAAGTTTGTCCTTTGCATTGTGAGGTTGGTTATCTTAGGCTGAATGGCAGGGACGGAGGTTCTGTCAATGAGTCTAAAGTGGCTCTTGGTGGTGGATTGATAGATGCCATCTGGTTTATACAAAAATGGCAAATTTGAAATTCTTGAGCAATACATCACGGTTTTTTTTTTTTTGTTGCAGATTGCAGATAAAAAGTAAAAATGTTTGACTGAAGTCTTTTGAACGCTTTGAAGCAGCTGTTAATCACTGATCTCTGTAAACAATAATTCCAAATAGAACCGCAACGTCATAATAAGGCTGGTTCTTAGCCGGAGTGGGCGGGGCGACACAACAGACAATTTCATTGGTTCATAATACAGCAGCTGCTTGAGGATGCGCGCATTTCGTTGTGTACGATTTTGTGAATGATTTTGTCCGTATTACAGAAATATAAATGGGTCAGTCGGTAGTCTCTTATTATCTGTTTTGTAACCAGTGTAATAGGATCTGTCGGCTAATGTTATTGAACACTGAATGTTTCCAAAAGCATCGTAAAATCCATTGAAACCAATGGAGCTACAATCGATTTATGAAGCTTACGATGCTTTTGGGAAACGCAGCCCAGAATAAGCCTACTGAACACAGAATATACGAATATTTCAAACTTAATTATCCCGGATGTTTACATTAGGGCTTCACATTTCCGTCAGGACGGGCAGCACAAACTCAGGATTTTACGAACATTATAGCCTAATTTACTTTATTAGTAAGACATAGGACAGATTCGAAAGTAAGCGGCTGATTTTATATTTATTTATTTAGTCATTTATCAGACGCTTTTATCCAAAGCGACTTACAAACGAGGACAACAGAAGCAATCAATTGTAGTATTAAAACAACTAAAAACAGATCCAAAACTAAAAGCTAAAACGTTATAAATACTACTTATACACATTTTTTTAATAAATTAATTAAATAAAAATGACAAATGCATACAACAACATTTCAAAACTTAACATTTAAATGAAAAACAAAAAATAAAGCTAAAAACAATTCAAAATAGTAAAGAACAAAAGTTATAAGAGTATAATAATTATTCTAACATCACACTAAGCCAAACACCAAAAAAACTACTACGTGTATGTACAATCATACACACACACACACACACACACATATATATATATATATATATATATATATATATACATATATTTATATGAATATTTATTAACAGAATATTTTAATGAGCAATTGTGACAAATATAATATATATTAACGAGGTTATTTGTTGTCCATTGGATTGCAAGAAATGTTGAATTGACAAAGTTCTCTTGAATTACTTGTTACAAAGTGGAACAACGTTTACATAGAAAACTCCGATTCACATTTCTCTCAGGGGTGTTGCTAGGGTTGGGAGAGACAAGGAGCTTAGCCCCAATAAAAAAATTAATCATAATAATAATAATAATAAAAAAACCTGCCATTGTTTATTTAAAGTAGGCCTACATTTTTATTTTGTATTAAGTAAAATTCGAAACTATTAACATTTATTGACATATCACTTACTGATATAAAATTCTAATTTAACTTCATTTTGGAGTATTTATTTATTGCACAATGCACATTTCTTAATATAATGCCCAAAATGTGTTTTAATATCACTACTAATAAGGATTGTGTGATCTCTGTATAATATCGGTCTTTAAATGCAAGATATTTAAAGTGAACCTGAAGTATACTAGCAATAGTTCCACTTTAGCACAATTAAATATCTTTAGTTGGACTTCATCACTACTTCCACACAATTAAAGTGCATTAAACACAAAATCAGTTGTTCCGATTTAGCAGACTTTAGGTATACCAGTTTAGTATACCAAAAGTACAATTGCAGGGTATTTTTATTAAGCACATAAATATGTAGGCTACGAATACTTAGCACAAAATAAATGTATACGTTCTGTTATACTGAACCTCACTGACCACATCTTTGATGCTTTAAATTAAAATAATTTATTTGTGGATAAATGACCAACTTTATTTTTAAAATATAGATATCACTATCCCCCCACCATGATTCTGGAAAAAAATCTGACAACTAAACAAAATAACATGTAGTCTATTTAGTAGAGGTTCTAGTAAAAATTGCTGCAGTCTATTTACAATATTCGATATTCAACGAATTGTTAAAAAAATAAGTTGAACAAATGATTCAATGACTCGCTCATAGACATCACTTGTTTAATTCCTGAATGAATCAATGTTTTCTGAATGAATCTTTTTTAAAGTCACTTGTCTCCACCTGCTGGCATTGTGTTGTAATTGATACAATCTTTATTAGAAGCGTGAAGTCACTTTCAAAAAGGTGATTTATTCTATTTTGATCGCTACTGTAGACAATAGTGTTTATATCCGAACTATAAACTTTTATCCCAGTACTTCTGTGATTATTTTAAGGTTTGTAACACAGAAATAACGATACAAAATACTTTGTGAAACTGTTTCATATACTTTAACTGTTCTCTCTGGTCAGCGGCATGCAGTGCAAACGCATATTTGAATGTTAAAGTGAGATTCAGTGTTTTAATAGACATACTTGTGACTAGTGGGGGCGGGGCCGAGAGCCGTGGAAGGATAAAAGGAGGAGCTACGACAGTGAAAGACAAGAGAGGACCAGGCCTGGATTTTATTTTGTGTTTTGGTTCTGTTTGTATGCATGCTATTTTGTGTTTATTTTATTATTAAAGTTTTGTTTGAACATTCGTCGGTTCCCGCCTCCTTCTTCCCGTGACTACGAACTGTGTTACAATACTGTTGCTGAATGATTGTCATTTAGGATCAAGACTGCGTGGGTGATTGAATCTGTTTGCGATCTGGCTATTTGTTTAAATGTCCAAAACATAAAACGAGGGCTTCAAAGCTGTGTTTAGTTAATGAAGCAGCCAGCAGTGCAGACACGTTGGATTTGTAGTACTTGCAAAACAAATTGAAATGTATAAAACATATTTTATTTGTGAAGTGAATGGTCCATCTTTAAAAAGAGCAGGGGCTTTTGGCAAAACATCAGGGGCTTAAGCCCCAAAAGTCACCTCCCCCTGGTTTCTCTCATTTAGCCTAACGTTAATAAAATATTTTGTATATTTCTTAAATATTTACGTGAACACATAATAGCTACTTTTTGCTACAGATCAACTGTAATAATGGCATCCAACATAAATGCATTGTATTTCTCAAGCATTAAGTTTCTTTTATCTGTCACTCACTGTAGTTAAAGCTGATGATCCACTGATCCTGATGTGACCAGCTTTTGGGAGTCCACCATGACATAGGATGATGACTTCATCCGACCTACTGAATTTATTCATTTTTAAGACTTAATTGTTCCCTTATTAAAATGTTGTATCAGACCAAAAGGCTCTGGGTGAAAACTGTTCATGTCACATAACTTAGTATAGTATAGTATAGTATATATGAAATAAATTAATATCTATAACTATAAAAAAAATTCCATCATTTTTTTCTCATATTAAGTCTCTAAAATGTAAAAGCAAATATTATTATTGTTCCATACTTTTCCCCAGAAACGTTTTGTTTTGCTTTTTAAATCATGAATGTACATTTGCCTCTTAAAGGACATCCAGCATTTCATCTAAACTAGGCCTGCTGGACCACTAGCAAAAGCCAAATGTAATACAAAATAAGCCTAGAGTAATGATATGAAGAATATCAAAACAAAGCACCAGAATATTTAAGTGTAGTACTTGGATAATAATACCTACTGTAATTACGAAAATTAAAGGGGTCATATGATGCGATTTCAATATTTCCTTTCTCTTTGGAGTGTTACAAGCTCTTGGTGCATAAAGAAGATCTGTAAAGTTGCAAAGACTAAAGTCTCAAATCCAAAGAGATATTTACACAAAATACTGTTCTTTTTAGCAGCATCATATGACCTTTTTAAAAGTTTAACACCTGGAATGTAAACTCCAGTCCGGGTTTCTCGCAGCTCCGCTGGCGCGGGATAGACAGACTCCAGTCCGTGTTTTCCGTTGAGCCGCTAGCGCGGGGTGTGGCGCGGGCCGTTAAACACGTCCATGAAGCGCCACTGCCCCGGATCACATCGCCGCTCTTGGCCCCCAACTCAAAATATTACATTCAAATACAATTTACCGTCATTTAACTAAGCTAAGCGCTGTAACACCAGCCACCTCCGTATGCTGTGCTTTAGAAACTACTTGAGCAGTATTTGTTTCTGTTAAGACCTGTGCTTGTGAGGTTTACAACACGTCCTTGGGGTTTTAGCAGCATTTATTATGGTGACTTTGTTTCTGCGTTTGTTGCCACAGTAAACCCGTGGTAAGCTGTCATTAACAAAATAAATGCCAGAAAGATCTTAACAAAGATCTCAGTAACTTAGCACTTTACTCAAGTAGAAATAACTATTAGGACCTGTGGTATTTTAGCAGAAACGGTTATCATTGTGAAAAGAGTGCACTTAACTGTATTGAATGTGCACTTGTTGTGTACTTTAAATTGTAAAAGTAGCCTATATTTAAAAAAAAAAAAAAGTGCTTCAGATAAACTGTAATACATTTTCACTTAATTGCAAATAACGTGCTATTAAGTGTCTGAAAACATTGCATTCAGTTTGCACGTAAATGTTTTCTTTTATTTCCATAAGTATATTATTTCCATTATTCGTCATTTGTGACCCTGGACCACAAAACCAGTCATTAGGGTCAATTTTTTTAAATTGAGATTTAGGGCTACGCACATTCATCTGAAAGCTGAATAAATAGGCTAAGCTTTCCATTGATGTATGGTTTGTTAGGATAGGACAATATTTAGCCGAGACACAACTATTTGAAAATCTGGAATCTGAGGGTGCAAAAAAAAAATAAAATTCTTGAGAAAATTGCCTTTAAAGTTGTCCAAATGAAGTCCTTAGCAATTCATATTACTAATCAAAAAGGAAGGTTTGATATATTTACAGTAAGAAATTTACAAAATATCTTCATGGAACATGTGGCGCGGTAGTAAAACAAAAGACAGTCGACCATAGCTGAACCTTCATTATAGTGGATATTATTTTGTTGGAGTTTATTGTTTTCTCATCGCATGAACTCGATTTCCTCAGTATTGTCTACATTGTTCAGAAGACCATTATTTGGACCGAAATTACATGAAAGGAGCCTGATACTGGACAGTGAGTAACTTATTGTGAAATGAGTTAGCCTCCGAGCTAATAGCCTGCCAGACCATATTATAGCACTGGAACGACTACACGTAAACGTTTCCGGGTTCCTACGCATTGCTTCATAAGTCTGGCAATACAGGAGATATTTCAGGTACTTTATTGTGATTTAAAAGCTCAAGTGTAACAAACTGGCATGAATGTGACGGACTGTGTGGCGCGGGCCGTTAAACACGTCCATGAAGCGCCACTGCCCCGGATCACATCGCCGCTCTTGGCCCCCAACTCAAAATATTACATTCAAATACAATTTACCGTCATTTAACTAAGCTAAGCGCTGTAACACCAGCCACCTCCGTATGCTGTGCTTTAGAAACTACTTGAGCAGTATTTGTTTCTGTTAAGACCTGTGCTTGTGAGGTTTACAACACGTCCTTGGGGTTTTAGCAGCATTTATTATGGTGACTTTGTTTCTGCGTTTGTTGCCACAGTAAACCCGTGGTAAGCTGTCATTAACAAAATAAATGCCAGAAAGATCTTAACAAAGATCTCAGTAACTTAGCACTTTACTCAAGTAGAAATAACTATTAGGACCTGTGGTATTTTAGCAGAAACGGTTATCATTGTGAAAAGAGTGCACTTAACTGTATTGAATGTGCACTTGTTGTGTACTTTAAATTGTAAAAGTAGCCTATATTTAAAAAAAAAAAAAAGTGCTTCAGATAAACTGTAATACATTTTCACTTAATTGCAAATAACGTGCTATTAAGTGTCTGAAATGTCTGAAAACAGTTTGCACGTAAATGTTTTCTTTTATTTCCATAAGTATATTATTTCCATTATTCGTCATATTCGTCATTTGACCACAAAACCAGTCATTAGGGTCAATTTTTTTAAATTGAGATTTAGGGCTACACACATTCATCTGAAAGCTGAATAAATAGGCTAAGCTTTCCATTGATGTATGGTTTGTTAGGATAGGACAATATTTAGCCGAGACACAACTATTTGAAAATCTGGAATCTGAGGGTGCAAAAAAAAAAAAAAATTCTTGAGAAAATTGCCTTTAAAGTTGTCCAAATGAAGTCCTTAGCAATTCATATTACTAATCAAAAAGGAAGGTTTGATATATTTACAGTAAGAAATTTACAAAATATCTTCATGGAACATGATCTTTACTTAATATCCTAATGATTTTTGGCATAAAACAGAAAAATCGATAATTTTGACCCATGCAATGTATTGTAGGCTACAAATATACCCAAGTGACTTAAGACTGGTTTTGTGCTCCAGGGTCACATTTTATAAAATGCAGTAAAGTGCGTAATGATGACATTAACGTCACACGAGTGCAAATGTTTTATTTAGCAGGATGCTTGATATTGAGGAATTGTTTCATTGCAGGGTTGATGTTTACGGTGCAAGCGTCCCATTTTTGCGGGAACCGCAGAGCCTCCGTGTGGGGCTAGAGGACCATGCCGGATACTGGACAGTGAGTAACTTATTGTGAAATGAGTTAGCCTCCGAGCTAATAGCCTGCCAGACCATATTATAGCACTGGAACGACTACACGTAAACGTTTCCGGGTTCCTACGCATTGCTTCATAAGTCTGGCAATACAGGAGATATTTCAGGTACTTTATTGTGATTTAAAAGCTCAAGTGTAACAAACTGGCATGAATGTGACGGACTGTGTGGCGCGGGCCGTTAAACACGTCCATGAAGCGCCACTGCCCCGGATCACATCGCCGCTCTTGGCCCCCAACTCAAAATATTACATTCAAATACAATTTACCGTCATTTAACTAAGCTAAGCGCTGTAACACCAGCCACCTCCGTATGCTGTGCTTTAGAAACTACTTGAGCAGTATTTGTTTCTGTTAAGACCTGTGCTTGTGAGGTTTACAACACGTCCTTGGGGTTTTAGCAGCATTTATTATGGTGACTTTGTTTCTGCGTTTGTTGCCACAGTAAACCCGTGGTAAGCTGTCATTAACAAAATAAATGCCAGAAAGATCTTAACAAAGATCTCAGTAACTTAGCACTTTACTCAAGTAGAAATAACTATTAGGACCTGTGGTATTTTAGCAGAAACGGTTATCATTGTGAAAAGAGTGCACTTAACTGTATTGAATGTGCACTTGTTGTGTACTTTAAATTGTAAAAGTAGCCTATATTTAAAAAAAAAAAAAAGTGCTTCAGATAAACTGTAATACATTTTCACTTAATTGCAAATAACGTGCTATTAAGTGTCTGAAAACATTGCATTCAGTTTGCACGTAAATGTTTTCTTTTATTTCCATAAGTATATTATTTCCATTATTCGTCATTTGTGACCCTGGACCACAAAACCAGTCATTAGGGTCAATTTTTTTAAATTGAGATTTAGGGCTACACACATTCATCTGAAAGCTGAATAAATAGGCTAAGCTTTCCATTGATGTATGGTTTGTTAGGATAGGACAATATTTAGCCGAGACACAACTATTTGAAAATCTGGAATCTGAGGGTGCAAAAAAAAAATAAAATTCTTGAGAAAATTGCCTTTAAAGTTGTCCAAATGAAGTCCTTAGCAATTCATATTACTAATCAAAAAGGAAGGTTTGATATATTTACAGTAAGAAATTTACAAAATATCTTCATGGAACATGATCTTTACTTAATATCCTAATGATTTTTGGCATAAAACAGAAAAATCGATAATTTTGACCCATGCAATGTATTGTAGGCTACAAATATACCCAAGTGACTTAAGACTGGTTTTGTGCTCCAGGGTCACATTTTATAAAATGCAGTAAAGTGCGTAATGATGACATTAACGTCACACGAGTGCAAATGTTTTATTTAGCAGGATGCTTGATATTGAGGAATTGTTTCATTGCAGGGTTGATGTTTACGGTGCAAGCGTCCCATTTTTGCGGGAACCGCAGAGCCTCCGTGTGGGGCTAGAGGACCATGTTCCGTCCTGGAGGAGAGAGAGACTTCCAGACGTCGGTTCGTAGGATGGGGACGTCCCTGCTCTTCCAGCTGTCGGTTCATGAGCGAGAGTTGGACCTCGTGTTTCTTGACCACAGCTATGCCAAACCCTGGAACGCCCACCCGGATGCCAGCAGCGTGCGGCCCACCCGCATGCTGTTCGTCACCCCGCGGCGGCAGCCGGAGCCTTCTGTGTGAGTGAAGAATATCAGAAGGATATCTTTTACCTTGTTTGCTCTTGTAATTGACATCTGTTTTGAGTGATCTGATCACAAGTTATCAAACGAGGCAGCTGTTCACACCTGCTATCAACATCTCTGCCCCTTACCATAGCCGCCTGCGAGCTTCAGTGTAAATATTGAGTCAAAATCAATTTGAGCGCGATTTAAACCCGGATGATTATAAACACTCTAATGGCGCTTTTCCACTGCATGGTACGGCACGGTACGGCCCGAGCCGAACCGTGTCGTACCGTACTGAGCCGTGCCGAGCCGAGTCGTACAACGCAGTGGAAAAGCGCCATAAGTTCATCTGCTTTGGGAAAGCTAGCGTGTCTCCGACATACTGATAATAACACTCGTTGCCTTCTCTAGTGCAGCTCAACCAGGTCTCGTCCCATTCGTCGATATTTGTGATATCACAAATCCCAGAAAATATGCGTTGTAGTCCAAACGAGTCGTTCGTTGTAGTTTTTGAAAGTGATTTCTGTTAAATAAAATATCTCCTTTTGAAGTGGACTTTGAGCTCTGTAACTTTGCAGATCTTTTTTTATTCTCAAACAGTAACATTACAGACTAACTAAAGTTTACAAAGTGAAAAAGCATAATAGGACCCCGTTTTTGAAAGTCGGCGCTTTAAATAGGCTAAATAAAGCTTTTTATTTCATTGATTTTTATTGATGACTGCAGTGTTAATATTTTAATTATAGGCCTATAATTAATTGTATAATAGACCTGTTTTAAAATAACTTTTTTAAAACATTTTAATTGAGGAGCAAATAGCCTTATCTTTTGTAATCCTCGCAGCGCATCAGTTATGCGGTAATATTGCGGGGAAAATTTATTGTAATTTTAATTTAATAATACAATTTTATAATAAAAGTAACTTAATAATAATAGGCCTAATAAAAATAAGAATGTAACAGGGCTACATTAATTGGAAATGCCAAATCCTCTTAATATTCCCAATAACTGATGTTTTCGACGAGGCTATCGTTGATACAAGATCCTCGTCTTTCGACGCACCCCAGCACAGGGAGGTTATCGCGGGGCAGACAGCACGTTGCCTATTACGTCGTTTGGGATGCCTCGTTGAGCGCAGTAGCACTGAGAACATTATATTTCACACACTTTAAGCTCTTTTATTTTACCGAAAGCCTCGTACTGAACGGTTCAATACGAATACGTGTGTCGTTACACCCCTACTAATCAAGCATGTCTAATTAATCGAAATCATGAAACTTGTACAATCTAACAATTTATTAAAAGTTTATCAAAAGTTAAATTTTTTGGGCCCATATGATGTTATATTTTTTCAGTATTATCTTTTTCCCCAAATTCTGTGTTTTCTGTTTTAATTTTTCCATTTCAGTGGTTTAATTATTTTTTTAATAATCAAAAGACACATCTAATCTAACTGAATTCCTGCAGTTTTATCATTTGAATCATTTAGTATAATTTTTACAATAATAGACCTTAATCGGGTGTATTTAATTTTTTTAAATTGTATATAAATTTATTATCAAAAATGTTTGTAATCAAAAGAAGGCATAAAATATGAACAATTTGTGAATGAATGAAAAGTTTTTTTAAGCATAATGAAATGAAATTTTATTTTTTGGTAAACGAGGTGTTGCACAACAGCGGTTGTTCTGAAATTATAGGGCCCTAGACATTTTAAGCTAGTTAACTGTTTATCAGTATACGTATATAAAGTCATAATATATAATGGGTTGTGATGTTATCTGCTACAGCGATTCGGACATTTCCATCGACGTAGAGATGGTCACACCCACTCCAATGCCTCTCTATGACAATCAGAAAGCCCGCAGTGTGATGAACGAGTGTGAACGTCATGTTCTGTTTGCTCGAACCATCGCTGATGGACCACCTCCTCCCGATGATTGGGAAGAACACATCAACAAGTAAGAAAAGCTGCTGACAGGTCACTACAAGATTGCAGATATATGAGAACGAGGGAGCTCATATAAAAATATAGTTTTCCTCTTACATCAGAGATGTTTTGTTTGTGATCAAATTTTCTTCAATCTGTTTTAGAGCTGGCTGGTCATTGGCTCAGAACAAGCTCTTCAATAAAGTATTGAAAGCACTGCATGCAGAAAGACTCCGCAGACTGGCCAATGAGGGTGTGAGTTTTCAAAACTGGGTTTAACTTGCATGCTCTGTTTTGTTCAGTTAAATGTAAGAGTTGCTGTTTATCAAAGGCTGTTTCACTGGCTGTAATAGTGGTGGTCTTAGACTGCATACTTGAAGTCTTTTCAGGTCCTAAGTAGGCATGGGCCAGTATGAGATTTTGACGGTATCATAACCTTAAGCAAAAATATCACGGTTTCACAGTATCATGGTATTGTTTTTACAGCTCTAAAATGTGTTATTTTTAAATGACTGGGTAGAAAAAAAAAAAAAACTTTTTCCGCTGAACACAATATATTTTGTTTTTGAGCAACATACAGAATATTAGGAACAGTAGAATGTTTATTTTTCTTTGATTTGTTTCCTAAAAAGAAGAAAAATAAAGACTGACATCTTTATTTAACCTAAATCTGTAAGTACAGTTATTTAATTTTAGTTATATAATTTGTATACATATCATTTATATCATTTCATATCATTTAGTTATATAATTTCATTTACATAATTTGATTGAATAATAACCCAATTTGAAGCAAAAACTGAATGTTCTGACTAGCTTTGTGAAATTATACTACATGCCTGAATGAAGCAAACAAACAGCAGAAGCTCTGAATGAGACGCAGATCCACTCGCTGACAGTAGGAGGCGCTTCTGGAACACCAGATACGGCGTTTGAGTCCAGAACAGAGACGAGTTGCTTGCAATAAGACAAAAAATGGGCGGTTGCCGATCGCATAAGTTCCAGGGGAAGCTCCTTAGTTCGGCCGTCCTACACCGTACACACGTGACTGACCGCTCGCTCGCACCAACAGGAGGAGGAGGGACATGTTACTCTCTACACTGCACTCAACCTGAGGGATTCCTACACTTTCAGTCTTTGAGGAGACATGAAAAACAGCGCATACCGCAGGAACGGTGTAACGGAAAATATTAGCGTGAAACCGTGAAATTTTCAAATCGCGGTATACCTTGAAACCGGTAATCGGCCCATGCCTAGTCCGAAGATGTGTACCTGATCACTTCTTACCCAAACCTGATGTGCGTAAATTATTTTTTTAAACAAAAGAAAAACCCAGCCCGAGTTGATAAAATATGAAATCCCACATCAGATCTTCCTCTCTTTTTTTGAAGGTAAAATTCATTCTCTGATCCTCCTCACCACTTTAGGTTTGGTCATTTACAGATTTACAGACAACAGAGAAAGAAAATAATTATAGTCATTTTTTATTTTTTATAATAAAATATTTTTTACAAATCTGGGTCTTCTCAAGACCTCTATTTGGTAAAACCACATTTATTTCAAATTGCTGAGGCCCGATCACAATATATTTTTCCGTATCATACTGTATTGATGGTATTTATCATGATGTTCATTAATGGGGAGGAAATGCTTTCCACTTTGCTTATTAGGCATTGACAATGAATTTAAACATAACTTGTTTCTTTACAATTAAACTATTTTAATTTAGGGCCCTATGAAATCTGTTTTATTTTCTTCTAAATTCTTTGTTTTCCATTTTATTTTTCTGGATTCTGTGTTTTATGATTTATTACAAATTTATCATCAAAAGGTGTCTAATGAAATGAAATAATTCAACTTTAACAATTTAATCGATCTTTTAAATTTTAATCAAATGAAAGTATAGCAATTAATTTGGATGAAATTTACCTTGGTTACATGATATTCCTTAAAAATAATAATAATATGTTGAGAAGTACATTTTAGTATATAGTAGTAAAATATTTCTGTCATAATTTCTTCAAGTTAAACCCAACTTTGACATGTGATGAAGGTCTTCCAGTTTTAATTGTGTATTTGAAAACTCTAGAGATGAAGTTCATGTCCTGATATATTGAGATGCAGATGCTGAAAACACTGTCAGTGTCACATGTGTTTGAGTTTGTGTGTCAGATGAATCTAAGCCATTCATTCACACAGAGACCCACAGATCATGCAGACTTAACAGCGACATGCACAGACTGGCTGCTGTTGCCTTTATTTCTGCTGTGTGATAGACTGTTAAATGTCCAGAGCTTATCATCATCAATATAAATTTTATCAAGATCTCGATATGATATTGTTTATCATCCAGCCCTACTAATGTCAGTATCAGTTTAATGTCAACAACAAAAGATATGAGATCCATTGTTCCCTTTTAAAAGTTGATAATCCTATTTGTTTAGCTATGCATGATTATTTTCTTAGATTAGATTATTTGCTTGTAGTGAATTGTTTTTGTCCCTGCTGTCAGATCAGACCTGCCATGAAACCAAATGAGAAACATGATGATGGATAGATGGTTGTTCTAATGCAAACGTTCTCTCACTCACTCTGTGTCTCTGCTCTTCACAGGCTTGTAATGAACCTGTCTTACGCAGGATAGCTGTGGATAAATGTGCTCGTAAGGTCCGCCATGCTCTGGCCAGCATCAACTGGGACATAAAGCTGACACATTGGCTTCACAGCACACTTGTGGAGTCTTTGAGTCTTGCTATGCTGGCGGCTTACCTTGATGTATTGCAGACACTCAAAAGCAAGGTGGGATGTTTTATTATTATATTACCACTGTTTGTGTAGGGTCCATAGCAGGAGGTTACAGAAGACTGTTTTTATTCTCTTGTGACATCTCCACATTTCTCCTTTTAGGTACCATCCCTGATCGACAAGATGTTGCTGTCATCCTCTGTAAAAACAGGAGCGGCAGGGTCTGAGGCTCTTTCTCTGCTCCTTAAGCGGCCATGGGACCCTGCTGTGGGTGTGCTATCACACAACAAACCAGTATGTACTGCACTTTTTGTTGCTTTAGTTCCTCATCCCTATACTGTATCATATTTGATATATTAGATTTTTAAAGGGGTCATATGATGCGATTTCAATTTTTCCTTTCTCGTTGGAATGTTACAAGCTCTTGGTGCATAAAGAAGCTCTGTAAAGTTGCAAAGACTAAAGTCTCAAATCCAAAGAGATATTCTTTATAAAAGTTAAGAGTTAACCGCGCCTACCTAAAACGGCTCGTTCTAACACGCCCCCACATATCTACCTCACTATGTGGGAAGATTTGCATAACGCCGCCCAAATGTTCACGCAAAGAAAGAAGGCGTAACTTTTATTCTCGCTGTAGTATTGTTGTTAAAAATCGACGTGTTTCAGAAAGGCGGGGCATAGAGGAGAAACAACAATGTACAGTATGTGGAAAATAATGTGTTTTTTAAACCTTAAACCGCATAAACACATTTCATTACACCAAATACACAAAATAATGTTCTTTTTAGCAACGTCATATGACCCCTTTAAGGCATCTAAATGATCAACACGTTCAAAGCTTTCCAAATAAAACTGTTGTATGCAATCTACTACATGCCTTCTGTCATCCGATTAGTAGTTCATACATTTTTGGCAAATAAAAGGTATCTAGTAGAGGTGCAACGGTTCTCTGTAAAAAATCGAACCGTACGGTTCTCCACACACAGTTCGGCATGCACTAGGACCGCGGTTCAACTTAAATCTGACAATGCATCTGTAAGGTTTGTTAGAGTTCGGCTAATGCATGTTTCTGTTGATGGATACAAATTCTGGCTTCCCAATAAATTACAACAAGTGCGATGAGAGAAAAAAAACAATACGTGGACAAACCAGTCACTCCTTGTTCAATGCGAGTGCTGTATGCTGGAATAACTCATTTATGCTGTCATCACGTGTTGATAGCGCAGATGAGACCTGAACAGCACACATTGCTATCTGTGTTTAAACTAAACTCATTTAAGCCTTGCCAGTTTAAATATTAAAGAGCCAGAAGACGCGAACTCGCGCGCGCAGTCAGAAGATCTGTGTGTGCGCTCATCCGAAGCATGTGAACCCGCGTCTCAGAATGCGCGCAAATATTAAGCTCTCTTTGAAGTATTGTGCTTGAATGGACAAATTCACACAAAAATTATGTCAAAATGCCTGTCTTGGTGAGTATCCTCGCAGAAATAGTCAGCTGAACAAACAGTATCTGTGCACTGGATCAGTGCGTTCTCTTAAAGTGACAGCACTTTCTTAAAGTTAATTAAACAGCAACAACACGGAACTATCTCACTGCTCTTGATTGAATAACTTTTGTAACTTTAAGGAATACATTTTAATTTATACAGTCAAATATGCAATGTAGTTTTACATTTGATTACTTTATTCAATTTCTGTACCTAAAAACTGTTAGACCTACCTAAAAAAACTGAAAAGCACTATTTATTTTATTTGTATCTTCGCTCTATTGCATTTATTTGTGCTGTTGCTTGTAGTTAGATTATTTGTTCTTATTTTCTTTATTTTTATTTGACAATATGGTTTTTTCCCTAAACATAGCACATACGAATCGTACCGAAACAGTGACTCTAAAACCGTGATACAAACCGAACCGTGAGTAAGTTGAACCGTTGCACCCCTAGTATCTAGTAAAAGGTGTAGTTTCTTTTAGTATAACTGTAAAAATGTCCCCTTTCAGGTTGTGGTTCATGGTGCATTGCATTATTTGTTTGAATATGAATTTGTATCCGCATATGCACCAAATTGTTTGTTTGTGGTAGGATTTCTGTAATATAAAAGACTTTAACTGAAAATGTCTGTTTTCTGAATCTAATCTGAATATTTATGTTTATTTTTTCAGAGTAAACTTCCTGGATCCCCCCTGATCCTGATAGCTCCATCAGGACCAACAAACCCTGCCTTCTCTACCTCTCGACGAATGAGATTCTGGCAATCTCAGCTCTCCTGTCTAGGGAAGGTATGCAAAATCACAGGCAAATACAGCTGTCACGAACACTTTGATTTTGTGTTCATCATTATTTCTGATTTAGGCTTGGTTTCATTTAGATTAGCATCATTTGTAAATAAAATATTGTATTAATGTTATCATTCTTGCATTCATAGAGTGATTTTAGGTTCTGATTCAAATAAAACTGATTTAGTGTTTTGTTTTTGGTGATTCAGGTCATTCCCATTAACGTTCATGTGGGCAGTGGAGCCAACATCGGAATCACGCAGTGTTTAGAGCACATGATCAGCACAGTCAGAGGAAAAGTTATTGAGGTACAAAACAACACACAGGACTAGCTAGCCAATTACACTTTTGCTTTACAGGAAAATATATGGTAACACTTTATTTTAAGGTGTCCTTGTTACACAGGTTACATGCGCTTACTATTATAATAACATTAAATTATGCAGGTTAACCCTAAATCAAACCCTAATCCTAACTCTAACCGTATAGTAAGTACATGTAGTTAATTAATTTTACTCAGTACTTAAATGTATACATACACTGTGACAAGGACACTTTAAAATAGTGTAACCAAGTATATAAATCAGCAATGTGATTTTTCTGTAGCCTATTTCTGTATTGTCTGATCTCAGGCATATGATTCATGTGAACTGCATATATGAGGAAAATTGGCTGCATTTTCAAATACATTTAAAATGCATTTATTTTATGCATAGTGTAGCTTTCAACAGCACCATTAAAAAAAGAAAAAGAATATATATATATATATATATATATATATATACTGTATATGTGTGTATATACATATATATATACACTGAACAAAATAATAAACGCAACATTTTTTTTTGCCCCCATTTTTCACGAGCTGAACTCAAAGATCTAAGACTTAGTTTCTTTATATTCTTAAAACTCCGCACACATTTATTATTTGTCATTGTGTTTTAAATTATTCTGTTCTTGCCATAAAATGAATCTTAGGTGATGACATAGCAAATAATAAATAAATTATGAGGTGTATTTAAAGATTTGTTTATTTTTTGCTCTAGGTTCACAGTCACTTTCCTCACAAGCCGATCATCTTGGTGGGCTGGAATGTGGGCTCATTGGTCTCTTGTCATGTAAGTCTCTCTTAACATTAGTTTTCTGAATTGTAGCCTATGATCAGCTGTAAAATGATGAATTTATAGATGTCTGTGTTTGCGTCCAGGTGTCCCTTATGGAGTATGTGACTGCTGTTGTGTGTTTAGGTTTCCCTCTCCAAACCGTCAATGGGCCCCGAGGGGTAAGAGGAAACAGTTCATAGTTTCTCACTGCTTTTTGCCATGATGAGCAGCATGAAAACATTTAGCAGATACATTAGCATTGCTGGCTGAAGTATAAAGTTTGTATTGTGTTTGTCAGGATGTTGATGATCCGCTGTTGGACATAAAGACTCCAGTGCTGTTTGTGGTCGGTAGGAACGCTCTTCAGGGCAGTCCTGAGAACATGGAGGAGTTCAGGGAGAAGATTCAGGCTGATAACAGCATGGTAGTTGTTGGAGGGTCAGATGACAACTTGAGGTTTGTGTCTTCAGACATTCACACGTGTGTCTAGACATGAAAGAAGGGCTGGGCGATAAATTCGGTAACGATAATTATCACAATATAATTTTCCCCGATAAAACGATATGAAGAGTTTGATAAATGTTCGATATAATGTTTATGTGCCAAAAGTGGAACTAAACCGCGTGACTCATTTGAATCGCACCACACGGACCGTTTATTCGCTCGAATCACAGTTCGAACTGCTGCGCGGCACGAGCTCACTAGTGCAGACGTGTTTCAGTGCTGTGAGATCCAGCTGTGAAGCGTGAATCAGAGAAAAACACAAATGACTTAAACGATGAAACCACGCTGACAAACAGCAGAAACACTGTGCGCAACGATAGAGTCAGGAAGCTTTTCAATCTACAAATCGTCATCATTTACCATGGATTTGCTGTAGTAACACTAACTGCATTGTGGTATTGTCAGAAATGTGGGTATTTGTATCGAATTTTATTACATTATTAATGGAGACATGAATTAAATGTATTAAAGGGGTCATATGATGCGATTTCAATTTTTCCTTTCTCTTTGAAGTGTTACAAGCTCTTGGTGCATAAAGAAGATCTGTAAAGTTGCAAAGACTAAAGTCTCAAATCCAAAGAGATATTCTTTATAAAAGTTCAGAGTCAGCCACACCTACCTAAAACGGCTCTTTCTAACACGCCCCCACATATCTACCTCACTATGTGGGAAGCTTTGCATAATGCCGCTCAAATGTTCACACAAAGAAAGAAGGCGTAACTTTTAGTCTCGCTGGAAGACCAATGATTGATAAAAATAATAATATATAATTAGAATGATTAAATTTCACCATATAAAAATGAGGTTGCTACAGTTTTTACAGATGTTACTGATTTTGATAATGAACAAAAATTTACATCTGCATCCTAACTCAAACTACTACAATTATCAAATGTGCATTCTAGGGCTGGACAATAATTCAATATCAATATGTATCGCGATATAATTTAGGAGCTGCTTTGATTACAGCCGTTACCAGAGAAACCGCTAGATTTATCACTCTAAAAGCGCCTCCTGCTGGCAGAGAATGAGTTTTCATATTAAATAAGCCCGTCTCCAGTTTGGCCATATCGTCCAGCCCTAGTGCATTCCTAATATTATTATTATTAATATTATCAGGCAACACAAACCTGTTTCTTGGTTTGAAACAATATTACATGCAGAAACTAAGAAATTAATGTTTCTATTAAGATATTTATTTTGTTAAGGAAAATTAATGGTCTGGTTTTTACAACTTTCACTTTGGAGCAAAAATCTGGCTTTAAACTTGAAAGAAATAAAGATTGACATTTATCATGATGATTATCAATATCAACTGATATGAAAAAAATGATTGTGATAATTGTTTTGGCCATATCGCCCAGCCCTAGTTGAAAGCATTCGGCTTTGTTTACAGGATCAACTCCACTAAGATGAAGACAGAAGGCCTGACGCAGACCATGGTGGATCGCTGCATTCAAGTCCGTACTTCTCACTTCTCAAATCATTTCACGTGTCATTCAGAGTGAAAATAAAGGCCAGAACCAGCTAAAGTCTAATTTTAGGGAAAGCTGAATTTAAAAGTTCGATCTGATACGTGATCTGTCTTGTGTGTGCTCTATAGTCTTTAGCCATAATCTTTTTTTCCCCTTTGTTTTCAGGATGAGATAGTCGATTTTCTGACAGGAGTTTTGACCCGTGCTGAGAGCCATGGCCAAGGCTCTGGTGAAACTCGAGATTTGGATGCCGAGAAGAAGAAGAAACCACGTCGTGAGCTGCCCTTTGACCTTGAGAGGTCACGACCCTCTTCACCTGCTGTGAGGGTACCTATCTCCCCATCTGGGTCAGAGGTAAGAATATTATTTGGAAAACACATGTTGGATACACCAGGAGATATGTGTAAGCTTTGTCAGCTTTATCTTCAACTACATAAAAAAAACTTCTATTCGGCTTTATTTTTCTCAAATTCCATTTCATTTATTTCCCCGAATTCCATTTTTTTTCTTTACTTTTACTGGATTCTGTTTTAATGGTTAAATTAATTGTAGTAATCAAAAAGAATGTCTAATTAATTGAAAAAAAAAGCACTTGTACAATTTAACAATGTATTACAAGTTTAATAAATAATACACTTGTAGGGTCCTGTGAAAACATTTTATTTATTTTTTATTTTTCTAAATTCCATTTGATTTTTTTCCCCAAATTCCATGTTTTCCATTTATTCTTTTGGATTCTGTTTTAATGGTTTAATTAAATTGTAATAATCAAAAAGGTTGTTTAATTGAATTCATAAAGCCTTTTTTAGACTTCTCTGGATTTATGATTTTAAACAAATGTATTATCATAAACAGTGGTCAAATGAAGACATAAAACATTAACAATTTGATCTTTTAATATGTAATCAAATAAAAATCTTACAAGTTATTTTATTTTTTGGCAGTGTTCCAGAACAGAGATTTACTCTTTAAATTAAAACATTGAAGAAAAAAAAAAAGGATTTTTCCTTAAAGTAATAATAATAATAATAATAATGATTATTATTATTTATTTATTTTTTTGATAGAAGTGTACAGCTCTACTTTTGATTTATTCATCCAAAATTCGCCAATCTCTGGTATAAGGTGACAATTCAGTGATTCTCTCTGCTTTTTCCACATCACGGAATTCATAGGCCCCTAAAAAAAACTCTAGTAACCACATAGTAAAATGCCTAAAACCAATCAGAACATGTAGTTTTAGTTAATATAAAGAGGCAGTGGATCATGTGAAGTAATTCAGACATCTGCAGTAATGTTTTCCCTGCAGGATATGTCCAGTGTCTGCAGCAGTCCTACAACCAGTCCCAAATCCAAGATGGTCGGACTTTCTCCAGCTCAGAAATCCAGTCTCATTACTGCCACACAGCTGCTGAAGACCCACATGCAGCGCTCAGGAACTGTGCTCACACACAAGCAAGCACAAGGTGTGTAAACACACAGATTCAGCCCCAGAACCCCACACACAGGATGCATTTTTGTATGTGCTGTTATTTGTGGTGCTAAAGTTGTTTTTGCCTGGTGGGATACAAATGCGTGAAATATATGACTGGCAACCAATTTTATACATAACTCATAACAAAACCAGTAGTAATGTGTCTCTTGTCCCCTGCCTTTAGCTCTATTTTTGTTTTTGAACGCAGTGTGTATCTGCATAACTGAGTCATGTTTTACGCCTGATGGGCCTCTTTTAACCCTGAGCTGTTCTGCCAATGCCTGTGCATGTTAAATGATAAGGGCTACGCAGTTTACAGTTGAAAAGCTAACGTTAACCCTCTGGGATTTGCAGTTACGTCCTCCCTGTATTGAGGAGAATCTCAGATCCCATCAAGCAGTAATGTTGTGTGTGATTCCTGTCTTTTCTATCCCCTCTACATTCCTTCTTCACTCTCTCCATCTTTGTCTTCCGTTTGCTACAGCTCAGTTCGCTGCTTTTATGAAACACAATATGCTGGTGAAGAAAAGCATTCCTCCTGGCAGCCCATCATGTCTCTTTGGTGAGTATCTATCAATCTCTTTTTCCTTCTGTCGTCCATCAGTCATCTTCAGTCAAATCCTTTCATCTGTCCTTCTCTACTAAAAATGGTTTGTCTTGTCTGTGTCACATACGTTACTTTTACTGTTTCACCAGCTTGTGTTTGCTAAAGGCACTAACAATAGTGAATGCTTAAAGTAATGACTGCTTGCAAACTTACATTCTTCTTGGCAGAATGCATCTTAAATCAGTGGGAGAGGGTTAAAAAAAAAACTCTAGACATAGTTTTTTTGTTATTTTCCCTAACAGAACAGGTGCATTGTTTGCCTTTTGACCCTTCAAAACTTTTAAAGTAGTGTTTGACTGATAAATCGCATGGGCCTATTTATTTTTCTTAAACAGTGTCTATTTAAACTAAGTGCAAATATTGTATTGTATTATACAAGTATTGTTGGCAGAAGCTATTTACACTTACTCCGCCCACCAACGAGTGATTGGGCTAGTCAACACTACAAAAGACGATTATCTAACAACGGCTCCAGTGGTGTAGGTGGTAAAGCGCATACCGCAGTCTTTTCCGAGTTCGAATCTGCCTTTTGCCAAACTTTTGTTTCGAAACCTTTTCAAATCTCATATCACTTCGGAAAGGCATTTATTTTCAATAAAAATGAAGGAAATAATCGAAAAGTTGAAAATTAAGTATGGGGTATGGTTAGGGTAGGTGTAGGGAGGGCTTTATTGTCCCAATAAGGTGGCATCCATTTAATAATTTGAATTAAAAGTATAATTTACACTCAAAACATTATTATTGCATACTGTTTTATAACGTACTACAATACTGAGGTGCAGATAATTGCCACTATTTGCAATAAGTAGTATAAACTGTGTGTAAATAGGGCTGTGCAAAAAATCAAATGCGATTTTCATGCGAATTTCGTCAGTAAAGGCACTTCTGGTGATTAGTAGTAAATCTCCAGCACGTGCTTTCAGATGGGTCGGCATTTACTACACAGAGCCGTAGATCACTGACAAGCTACACAAAATCGCGTTCATAATCTGCAATGAATCAGCTGCGATTTTGAAAACGATTTTGCGTAGCTTGTCAGTGATCTACGGCTCTGTGTAGTAAATGCCGACCCATCTGAAAGCACGTGCTGGAGATTTACTACTAATCACAGAACCAGCTTTACTGACGAGATGCGCATGAAAATCGCATTCGATTTTTTGCACAGCCCTAAGTGTAAATATAATCTATAGCTATTTGCACAAAACGCATCGCTAAAAAAATATGCTATATTCATGTAGTGCAAATAGCCACTGCCTTTTTAAACAATTGGCATTGACCAAAATGTTTTTCTGTTTGGCTGATAAGAGTCAAAAGTAGGACTTTTATTTTGACAGTTGAAAACCCAACTCCCATTCTCTGTCTTCATTCATGTCTTTGTTTAACAGATCTGTCTAATAATTGAAAGGTATACCCTATAGTACTTTTTCATATGTTGTCAGCATTCTCAAGTCTTTGAATATCTAATAAACAGTAGCAAGCTTCTGCAAAGCCACCTGTTAGATCTTCTAGTGTGCATTGTAACCTGCATTAAATATGTGTGATGGTCCGTCCATGCAAAGGATCCTGTGTGAATTAGATGCGGACAGGAGAGTTCAAATGTCACTGGACATGCACATGCAAGCAACATTAAATCCTTGGTCTCAATCTATGCTGCGCTTACGTAGTTTGCCACTCTGTCATATTTATATCATATTCACTGTGTGCTGTATGTAAAATGTCACCTGGCTAGTGCACACGGATTAACCAGATTTCCGAGTACATTACTGGTTACAGTGTTTACTTCGTTTTTATTCAGGTTTTTAACAACTTTTGTACTTGTTAAATACGTATACTATCAATAGAAAATTCTATATAAAGTTCAAACTTTTTTCAAATTAATCTGTATTAACTATCTTAGCAAATGTTATGTAAAAAAAATATGAATTTAATTGTAGAAATCATGCATGTGCAAACTTAAATCTTTAAATTAAATATTGAGATATTGGCTTTATATCGGCCATTGGCCACCCTGCTCTCTAAGATATCAGCATCAGCCAACAAAAAGTTTATATCAGCTGAACACTTTTATGTATCAGCTATTATTTATTTAAGTTTTTATATTTGGTTTAAATGCAATTTCCAAAATTAAGTTCAATTCCACTTCTCTCCACTTACACCGACAGATCTTTCACATTGTATTATTTATTATTTATTTAGTGGGACAATAACTATGATGTACCAAAATGAAATTTCTTGGTCAAAACATAAAATGTTAGATACTAGACATTAAACATGGATCATTTCACACAAACGTTGTTTCTCCAAATCCTTTTATCAGATTTGAAGTTTTTACTACTTTGCAAGATGCTCGTCAAAAGTAGAAAAAAAGTACAGTACACTTTAATTCTGATTCACTTCTGCAAATAAGGCCAGATAATTTTCATACTAAAATTGTGAACTTAATGGTCCATATGAACTATGCACCCCTGTTGTTAAAGCTGCAGTCTGTAAGCTTTGCCTCTTTGTCGCCATCTCTGTTTGAAAACCTGGAATTGCAGCCGTGTGCGGAATTATCTAGCTTGCGTGGGTTGTGCGGCGGCACGGCTGCAGCGCGGATGAATCTAATGTTCTGAGGAGTATGTGTGTGTGGCAGTCAGTCACCGCACCGGTGTGGATATTTACTGTACTTCGCAATCACAGATTCTAGCCTACGTCTTGGAATATGACCCAAATAAGAATTTTCACCGTATATTGCCATCTGAACAAGTAAGTAACAAGTCTGCCACGTTTGTTCTGACCAACTGAGGAAAAAAGCATTACCATAAATCACGCTACCAATGGTGATTAAATCTAAAGATTGGTTAGCTCATATCACATCAAACCGTTCAAATTATTATTATTGTTATACGCAGCGGCATGCTCGAATTTCCCGCGAAAACCTACCCGTACCACTCAAATTAGAAAACATTATTATAAGCTAACCGTTGTGAATCGGGCTAAAGTAAGGCGATAGTTTTGAACACTGGCTGGTTATGTACTTCCTCAAATATTGATTTTGGATAATTTTTAACCAAAAAAATTACCGGACTGCAGCTTTAAGCAATCTTGAGTGCATTTCCATGTTTTGCAATGGAGTTCAGAAAGCATCTTTCACACAAACCAAACACTGATGTTGAAATGACTTTGGGTCTGAATGCATTGAAAGCATCTTAATCTGTACCCACAGACCTCTGCGTTATTTCATATTGCCTGTATTGTCACCTTCTGAACCCTCAGTGAGCTTGAGACTGTTGATGCTTAACCCTTCAGCATTTTTTGTTTCAGTGCCGGTGCCCAGTGAGCAGGTGGAGGGTTTGGACCGAGACGACCTGAGGCTCCACCTCAAGAGAAGACAGACTCCTAGTCCCACTCCCACCAAAGCCTCCAAAAGAGCCAAGATCAAAGTCACCATCGTCTCCCACGGAGATGCGGCGGGAAACACGGCTGGATCCACTTCTCAGGACGGTAATGAAAACAAAGGCCTCATTCAGCCCACTGAGCCGCTGATTAAACTATATGAGGTGTATTGATGCATTTGGGCAGAATGAGAAAATGTTATGCAGTTTTCAGTCAGATTGATGACTTTATAGTTCACCCAAAAATTGAAGTAGTCATTTACTTTTTTACATTTATTTTCTTCAAAATATCTTCTTGTGTTTAACAGAAGAAAGAAATTCATACAGGTTTGGTGCAACTTAAAGGAGACTAAATGTTGACAATTTTCGTTTTTGGGTGAACTATGCATTTCAGGCCTGTTGTTAAGCCATTGCTTTAATTATAAACAACATACACTACATGTTATCTCCTTTATGAGACAATGTCTCACCACTGTGTACTACTTCTAGTTTCTTGTACTACTACACTATAAAAGATACTATATAGGGTTGGGTACCGTTCACATTTTAACTGAAATTCGGTGTTGGTTCTCAACGGTCCCTTGTTTTGGTACTTTACTCTCTGTGTTATAACAAAACATTTATTTCAGTGGAAACAAGTCCAAACCTCCCAATTTCATCATTTTGTTATTTATTTAGAAATTTTACGCACTAGACAAAATAATTCTAATGTCACAAATAATATTCTCAAGGTTTACTGGGTTTTATATGATTCTTTGATTATTTTGTAGTGTGGGTTTGGTGAAGTGTACTAAAAACACGTTTTTCACAGTCTTCCAAATTGACCCACAACCTAATCAGTGTGTACATAAAGAAATTAAGTCATTCATCAACCCGTTCATCACGCGAGTCAAGTTTTGAGAGTTGTACTGACAAACTACTACTACTCACCTGATTCCCGATGGTTTTGGAGGACAATTGCTCCTAGTTGTCCCACGTCATTTCAAAGAATAGTACAATGGCTAACGCAACAAGTATAAACGGCTTGCACGCGTACACAAGTGCAATCAGCAGAGGCTCGCGATGCGGAGCCAGGTAAAAGTATAATTAAGGCGGTCACACACTGGACGAGAAGCGCATCTCGCCTAGGACATCTCGCAGGTATCCCACACCAGACGCGTCACATTCAGTTAAAAAAAGACAGCAGTCCAAAACAGTGCATCTAATCACCAAACAGGCAAAAGTTCACTTCAAGAATGAATAAGGTTGCGTTGATGAGGTTGAACGGTGTTTGAAATAACAGCTCTGCTCTGCATTTAACCCATCAAGGTGCACACAGAGCAGTGAGTAGTGAACACACACCCGGAGCAGTGGGCAGCCATATTGCTGCGGCGCCCGAAGAGCTGTTGGGTGTTCGGTGCCTTGCTCAAGGGGCTCACCTCAGTCGTGGTATTGAAGGTGGAGAGAGTGCTGGTTATTCACTCCTCCCACCTACAATCTCTGCTGGACCTGAGACTCGAACCCGCAACCTCGGGTTACAAGTCCGACTCGCTATCCATTAGGCCACGACTGCCCCCAGAGAAAGCACAATCTATACTTGCGTAGAACATAAAATTTGGAAAAGGTGTCTCAGACTGTCTTGCTGCCTCAAGGTGTTTACATTTGTATTGGTGTTTTTTGTGCAGTGGGTTTGTCAGGAAAGCCCCTCGGACTGACAGTGGGCCAGACGGTATCGGGGGCCAAAGAGCTGTCGGAGCTTCTCAGTGCACAAAGGTACCTTTATCTTTTCACACCAGACTGTACAAGAGAAACAAAGACACTTAAGGCTCTTTACACCAACACAAATGCACGAAAATGTAGTCGAAATTAAATGCATACGAAATAGAATGAAAATGCAGATTCCTTCTGACAATAGTTGGCGCTTACAGAAAAGCAGAAATACCCAGGTTACTCGGGTACACAAAGTGATTCTATCAAAATAGGATTTACATGCTTTTAACAGCTGTTCAGATTTTTGTATTTGTGTCGGTCTGAACAGTGCATTAACAGCAGTTCACTCAAATTAAAATGCTTCTCACCAAATTTTCCCACGGAACATTCATGATGGTGTGAACAGGATTTGAATCTTGAGGAAATGACCAGTGCTGTTTGTATTCTTGTGTAATGATGATCTTGCTACATCGCCTAATTGTTGATTTTTTTTTTTTGATAGCTGTTTTTATTGTGACATTTGTTTGATTTATGCGATTGTCATGCCATATGTGACCCTGGAGCACAAAAGCAGTCATAAGTAGCACAGGTATATTTGTCGCAATAGCCAACAATACATTGTATGGGTCAAAATGATAAATGTTTTCTTTTATGCCAAAAATCATTAGGATATTAAGTAAAGATCATGTTCCATGAAGATATTTTGTAAATTTCCTACCGTAAATATATCAAAACTTAATTTTTAATTAGTAATATGCATTGCTAAGAACTTAATTTGGACAAGTTTAAAGGCAATTTTCTCAGTATTTTGACCCAAAAAAATGACCCTTATGACTGGTTTTGTGGTCCAGGGTGGTCCAAAAATGTTCCAGCACTTAACTCCATTACCCTGCATCTGCACTGTATTTTGTAAGTTTCCACTTATACATACAACTCATGTATAAACTTTTAGAAAAAAAAAAAAAAAATGGTCTTGCTCTTAGGTCAGGTTTGGCAGACGTGTCTGGAGCTTTGTGTTCCAGTGAAGGGCCGTTTCACAGCCTGCAGGGGAGCGTGATGTCCGGTTCTTCCTCTCCTGTCCAGGCTCAGGCCCCTGCCACTGCACAAGGTGCCACCACCATTACATTCTGCCAACAAGATCATTTGAAAGCTCTTTGCTTCTATTAGTGTTCATTAGACTTGTGCCGTTCATTTCGTTTATGAAAATTATGATAAATATAGGTTCGTTGATTACCTAGACGAGACAACAGCGATATCATTAAACACTCCGACTATATCAACATGCAGTATTGATGGAAAAAAGGCAAGACCAACTTCATTTACAAAAATAAAAACCATTTTCAACAGAAAAAACGTGGAAGTAAAAACAAAAAGCAAGCCTCTCTTGAGTTTTATTGCTTGGGGTTGCCAGATGTTAGGAGTTTAAATCCATTTATCTTTTCTCTTAAAAGGACACACTCTGTGCCTTGTGTTTTACCTAATCCCGGCAACTATGCAACATGTTAATTTATATGATAATATGATAATAGAATAAATACTATGATGAGTAAGCAAGTCGAATAAGCCATGAGTTGACATCCTCAAAATTTGCTCAAATTTGCCCATTAAATTTCACAGAGTAAAATTAAAAGTAAATGTGACTGCACCTTAAATCAACATGCAGTATTGTTGATGGAAAAAAGGCAAGACCAACTTCATTTACAAAAATAAAAACCATTTTCAACAAAAAAAACGTGGAAGTAAAAACAAAAAGCAAGCCTCTCTTGAGTTTTATTGCTTGGGGTTGCCAGATGTTAGGAGTTTAAATCCATTTATCTTTTCTCTTAAAAGGACACACTCTGTGCCTTGTGTTTTACCTAATCCCGGCAACTATGCAACATGTTAATTTATATGATAATATGATAATAGAATAAATACTATGATGAGTAAGCAAGTCGAATAAGCCATGAGTTGACATCCTCAAAATTTGCTCAAATTTGCCCATTAAATTTCACAGAGTAAAATTAAAAGTAAATGTGACTGCACCTTAAAGGAATAGCTCATGCAAAAATAAGAATTTGCTGTTTCTTCATCCGAACAAATTTGGAGAAACTTAGCATTACATCACTTGCTCACCAATGGGTGCTCTGAAGTGAATGGGTGCCGTCAGAATGAGAGTCCAAACAGCTGATAAAAACATCACCATCAGTCCATCAGTTGACATCTTGTGAAACAAAAAACTGTGTTTCAAAGAAACAAATCCATCACTTTTACTTTAAATCATCACTTTTAGCCAAAATATGAGTCCATAATCCAGAATAACGCTTCCTCCAGTGAAAAAAGTCCTTCCGCTGTTGTCCTCTCACATCAAAATCCACCAACAAATTTGTTTATAGCGGTTTTGGACTGTTTTTACTTGTAAATAGTGCTTGATTCATGCATATTTCTCTCCTGATTCAGACGAGACAAATTTTTCACTGGAGAAAGCAATATTATGGATAGAGAACTTGTATTTTAGCTTGAAGCGATGGTTGGAAATAAAAAAAAAAGAAACAAATCCATCACTTTTACTTTAAATCATCACTTCTAGCCAAAATATGAGTCCATAATCCAGAATAACGGTTCCTCCAGTGAAAAAAGTCCTTCCGCTGTTGTCCTCTCACATCAAAATCCACCAACAAATTTGTTTATAGCGGTTTTGGACTGTTTTTACTTGTAAATAGTGCTTGATTCATGCATATTTCTCTCCTGATTCAGACGAGACAAATTTTTCACTGGAGAAAGCAATATTATGGATAGAGAACTTGTATTTTAGCTGGAAGCAATGGACTGAAGGTAAAAAACATCTTAATGATTGAATTGTTTCTTACAAACACGCAGAATTTTCACTTCACAAAACATGAATTTAAAGACTGGACCTAAATCATCACTTTTAGCCAAAATATGAGTCCATAATCCAGAATAACGCTTCCTCCAGTGAAAAAAGTCCTTCCGCTGTTGTCCTCTCACATCAAAATCCACCAACAAATTTGTTTATAGCGGTTTTGGACTGTTTTTACTTGTAAATAGTGCTTGATTCATGCATATTTCTCTCCTGATTCAGACGAGACAAATTTTTCACTGGAGAAAGCAATATTATGGATAGAGAACTTGTATTTTAGCTTGAAGCGATGGTTGGAAATAAAAAAAAAAAACTTGATAAATTCTTTTTTACAAACACGCAGCTTTTCGCTTCACAAGATATTAACTAATGGACTGGAGTGGTGTGGATTATTGTGATGTTTTTATCAGCTGTTTGGACTCTCATTCTGACGGCACCCATTCACTGCAGAGCATCCATTAATGAGCAAGTGATGGAATGCTTCATTAACACTAATTTTAAACCTTTCTGACTGTGTGTGTGTGTTTAGCTCCCTCTGCCAGTAGTCTGCTGCAGGGCCTCAGCCTCAGTCTGCAGGAGATCAACACTAAATCACCAGGCGTCCCCTCCACCACACAGGTGCCGGCCGTCACACAGCATACTGCTTAAAAACACATCTCTGGCTAATACCTCTATTGCTTTCTTTATAATAAACCTGATGTGTAATCCCCACTGAGCCGCCTCCCGTCTGTGTGTGGTGGTGTTCAGGTGTGCGGAGGGAAGCCGCAGTGTCAGGGGCAGGTGTTGAGCTCGCTCAGCTCGGGCGGCAGCGGCACACTCGTGCGGACGGTGCCGGTCGTGTCCACAGGATCCGGGATGACCAAAACCACAGCCATCCACCAGCTCCTCACCAACGGCGGCCTGGCCAAACTAGCCCATAGCCTGCCAGGACTGGCCCACGTCTCCAGTCAGAGCACGGGTACGTCCTCGTCGCCGCTGATGACACGGCGATCCAAACAAAGGCGTCCGCGATGAGTAGAGTAGCTGCAAGGTCAAAGGTCGAGTCCATGAGAAGCATCTGAGCTGAGCGTGTAAATGTGTACCATAAACATTTGTGTAGATTTGTACTGTTTTTTTTAATGCATGTAAAGAGCTTTATTGGGTGATCTTGGTTTAGCGTACTTTTACACAAGTTGTTCATTTTAGGGGTCAACCTTTAACTCAAGCGGCTGGCTGTAACGTCCAGAGGACCAGAATATTTATATGGCAGTGCTATAAAAATGAGAGTCGTGATCAATTCCCACATCAGTGGCTTCATTCATGCTTAATGTGACCACCTCACGGTTGTGTTCTATGTTCCATTTTTCTGTTTGCTTCTGTTCTCAGTTTTGTTATTTGTTTACCTTTTGTTGTTTGTTTTTTGTTGGATGAGTATGTAAATCATAAGGCTTGCTCTACTCACAAAGACATTCATTAAATCCCCAATTTTTTCTACCTTTACTTTGTCATTATTATTCTGTTTTCATCTCCCAACTGCATGCATAAGTGTTCTCTATTTTTTGCAGCAGTTTACATTATGTAAATACAGTCCAAATAAATAACAAAAACAAAAGATGGATTATTAATACATAGTTGTTTGGTCAAATGCAATACAAAGTGTTGGACTGTATACGGTATGCTAATATTTAGTATTTTTATGCAGCAAGCAGAATTGATCTTGTTGAGGAGATTTAAGACAACAATTTGATTGACAATGCAAACTAAAACTATTATAGCATATAGCATGTTTAATAGTGATAGTATCCTGTATGTAGTATACAGTATAATAGTATGCAGTATAGTGTTATTCGATCTTTGCGCCCCCAGCTGACACCTCATCACAACGCAGTCACATCCCACAAACATACAGACATTTGTATGTGACCTTCGATTATTGTTCACAAAATGGATTATACACAACATGAAAAAACTGGTATCTTTTCATCAAATACAGCAATGTGTTGGGACTAAACGCTTCAAAATAATGAAGTTTTTATCTGGTAAGTCTTTCAATATCGGTGGAGCTAAAACTGAAAACGTATGGCCTGTTTCGCTCTTTCATAGGAGTCAGGAGTCAAACTATGAAATGCCTCTAAAAGAAGACAAACTAAAATGTTAGTTTCTGTTGTTATAGTTAATTGTACTTTTGACTATAGGCGGTGAATTAAAAAAACTAATTCTGATTTGATCACCTGTGTTTCTCCTATGAGTTTGTTTTAAGATATTTCATGAGATCCCTGTAATGTGTGTATGTGAGTGAGCTCCTGCATTGTTTGTAACCAGTGTTGGGGGTAATACATTACAAGTAACACAAGTTACGTAATCAGATTACTTTTTTCAAGTAACTAGTAAAGTAACGCATTACTTTTTAATTTACAAGAGAATATCTGAGTTACTTTTTCAGATAAGTAACGCAAGTTACTTTTTTTTTCCAATTTATTGATTGACAGCTCTCCTGTCCCCATGTTGAGAGAAATCAGAAGATGTTAAAAAAAACATTACTGGTGTGCATCTTAAGACAAAACAAAGGCACTTATCAGTGCCAATTTTATTTTTGGGCGGGCCTGGGCAGAAGTGAGCGGGCACTAGGCTAACTAAAGGACAGAGTCCTGTGGTTTAGCGCAAATCCGCGCCCCCAACCGCAAACTCAAGAGGGTTATACATCGTGATATTGTAAATATTTCTGTTAAACCAGGAAGGCGAGCCAGTGAGATCACACAAGCAACGTGCAAACTTTGCGCAAGAGTTATGCGGTGAACCTCTTAATCTCAGTCGATTCTCTAGAAAGTGAAAGTAAAAACTGATGGCGCTTTAGCTATCATTAACGGCGCATATTCGTTTCTTCATATGCAGATAATGGTAGCCTATATAGATAAATGTTTTAATTTGCTCCCTTAATGTTTCTCTTGTGGCCCGAACATAGGCTAGTGGGAAAAATAAATAAACAGAGAAGAAACGTAGGCTATTTCGTGTTAAACACGTTTTTTTTTTCTTTTAAAAAAAGTCGGTGCTTGAAATAAAGCTTTTTCGTTGATGATTGCAGTGTTAATAATTTTAATTATAGGCCTAATTCATTGTATAATAAACCTGTTTCGAAAGACATTTTTTAAAACATTTTCAATGAGGAGTAAGCTATAGCCTAATCTTTATTATCCCCGCAGCGCGTCAGTTATGCGGTGATGCGCTATGAAATTATTGCGGGGCAAATTAACTGTAGCCTAATATTAATTTAATAATAAAAGTAACTTAATAATATAAATAGGCCTAATAGGCTAATAAGAAGAATGTAACAGGCCTATGTTAATTAAAAATGCCAAATTAGATATAACTAAAGTGTATAAAATTATTTTATTCAGAAATGTCATGTTTGTGATTTTTTTATTTATTTTTTATGTTAATTCGTTATTTAAATTAATAGGCCTACTAATTAGGAAACAGGTGCAGTTAATCGCCGGCGTCAGTCACAAAAATTATATTAAAAAATAAAAATAGTGAGGAAGACTGGCAACAGCTGGTCTTAAATTCTTTAGACACCGCACACCAAACGACTTTGAATAGGACTGAAAACACTGACTGAGCTCAAATTCATAATCGGCCTGACAGTTAGGGCTGTTCATTCCGAAATTTTTGGAATCGAATCCGATTCTGATTCCTGGTTCTGGAATCGATTCCTCACTGTTGTTTTCGATTCTTATTTTTTTTAGATTGAAGGAACCTAATCTCACCATGATGACTGCAGGATAGGTCGTAGAATGTATCCTTCTCATAATGTGAAGCTTTATTTGTAAAAAAAATAAAATAAAATAAAAATTAGGCCTACCATACGTAAATTATAAATTTGTCTGCTTCGCCCGTGACATTAGTCATAGCCCGCAGCTGAGCAGGGACATGCGTTTATCGCATGAATTAAACAAGACATGAAGTGTTTAAAATAAATGTGCACAGTTCAGCTGAATGATGAAGTTTACTTTGACTGTATGCTTCGCACAATATTAGCAAACTGTACACTGAAACAAAATAACCAGAACATTAATAATTTCTTTTATAATTATCATTGGCTGATAGAAATGTTTTTAAAAATAGTATTTTAGATGGAAATAAGATCAAGATGATCTATTCTGTCGTGCAGCGCTCAAAACTGGACAAGCCCGGTCCACCGTAAAATACCCCCTATCTCCTAAACTATCTATCCGAACCAGGAAACTAATCAGACTTCTAATCCCTTTTAGCGAGCATGAGGGAGGCGAATGGTAATAAAAATATAAAAATGAAAATAATCTTTGTATCTCACAACTCTCGTAATTGCGGCTTTTGGCGAGCATGCATGAGGGAGGTGAATGTGCTTCTCAAACAGAAGGCTGCATCCTAAAATTCAGATGATCAGTACCCTACCGACTCGTTTTCTTTCCGTTTATTTTCGTGAATTTAAATGTGTGCAGCCTTCTGTTTGAGAGACACCCATAGATGAACTTTGTTGAACTGAAAAAGGCTCTGATGGCTAAAACTGCTGTCAATCAAACTCATCAACTCATCACATTTGATTTATTTTAGTTATTTGAGATGTTATAATAGTTCTCTAATTGTGTTAAAATAGATTAAACAATAATTATTTAACAAATATTATATGTGTATAATACACTGGGGGGCCTTTCATCAGAGTGGGCGGGCTGTGCCCCTGGTGGCACTGATATATTTTAAACTCGTTCAGTGCAAGTTTCTTTCAGTTGAAACAGCTTTAGTCTGGGACTAGGTTTAAGCCTTGTCTGTGAAACCGGGGGATTATGTCTATAGAACGACCCAATAAAACAGAAATATGTGTGTGTGCGTGTGTGTAATGTTACTGTGTGTGTGTGTGTGTGTGTGCGTGCGTGCGTGCGTGCGTGCGTGCGTGCGTGCGTGCGTGCGTGCGTGCGTGCGTGCGTGCGTGCGTGCGTGCGTGCGTGCGTGCGTGCGTGCGTGCGTGCGTGCGTGCGTGCGTGCGTGCGTGCGTGCGTGCGTGCGTGCGTGCGTGCGTGCGTGCGTGCGTGCGTGCGTGCGTGCGTGCGTGCGTGCGTGCGTGCGTGCGTGCGTGCGTGCGTGCGTGCGTGCGTGCGTGCGTGCGTGCGTGCGTGCGTGCGTGCGTGCGTGCGTGCGTGCGTGCGTGTGTGTGTGTGTGTGTGTGTTGTGTGCAGGACTGAAAGCTCCCACCACTATCACGGTGACGTTGCGCGGGCAGCACAGCAGAATTCACGCTCTCAGCCACACGGGGTCGCCAGCGCCGCTCACAGCGCTCCAGACCAGCAGGTGTGTGACCCGCCGTCAATACGACACAACACACACACACACACACTGAGTTTCTGAGTAGCAGAGCCAAACAGAACAGCAGGTCGCTTCACTGTGGCTTTAGGCCTCTCTCTGCTTTGACTCGCGCTCGACAAATTAGAGGAGCTCATCAAAGTCATTTAGGATTTTCATTAACATTGATTAGTCCGTTTAGGGGAGTTTTATCCTTTTTTTTCCTCTCTGTCAGATGATGTTTACTCACTCTGCAGTGTGTTGTCGGAGCGGTTGCTGTAGTAACCGTCTCATTGAGCATGCAGAGAGATGAGGTGTAATTATTTGCTTAATCACTCTGAAGAGCATAATTATATGCTTGTCATTTTTGTTTTGGATCAGCTTAGGCATTCGTAATGGTTTGGTTCATTTAAGAATGCTTGTGAGTCATAAAAATACTACGACTGCACTGACCACAGTGTAACTTTAGTTCAGTAAACTATGTAGAGATGTATTTTAGTGGTTTTACAGAAACAAGAGTCACTGCTGAATGGGTTAAATTAATGAATGTCATATTTCACCTAATGATAAAAAAATAAATAAAATTAGTCGAAAATCAAAAATGTATTACTAAATTCACATCACTATAATGTTTCCTCGTGGTTTACTTTTGAGGGTTTATTTATAATTCTCTTTAATTTCACAATTATTGTTATATGGGTCACCTGATGTGATTCTCATTCATATGTAGTATTATTATTATAATTATTATTACAATTCATATAATATATTGTGTTATTTTAATTACGTTATAAGAATGTATCTAAAATCTATTTAAAAATATATTACTGGCTTCAGAATTGTTGGTTCCAGTAATATATTTTAATTAAATTAATACTTTAAAACTGACAATACATCAAAAATGACACATTTATACACACATTTATATTTATTAATTTATATAAATATATTTAAATTTATATATAACACATTTAGGCTACATGGCTTTCTATAACAAATAAATGCAAAAAATAAAAGATAAAATACAGTAAAATGTAAGTAGGTCTATGTTAAAAAAATAAAATAAAATCTGTTGTCATTATAAGAAATATGATCACTCTTGGAACATCACTCATCCAGAGTACTGTATTATATAGTTATGGTCATGTGATCAATCAATATTTTATCTTGCAGTGACCAGAAACTCTGAAATGGGCGTCATTCACACTGGAATCAAACGCAGAAACCGAGGTTGAAGACTAAAAAGACTGCTGATTTGCCTTACAACCTGCAAGAGCGCCATCTATAGACACTTTCTTGCACACATGGACTGAAAACTTGACTTATTCATTTGTCTATTTTTTATTATTTCCCTTATTCTGTTACACTATGGCTGTACAACATAATGGGAAATTTTCCTATTGTATTTATTATTATTATTATTATTATTGTCCCCCCCCCTCTCCATCCGT